ATTGAGCTTTTTATACATAATAATTTAATGCATAAGTATAAAAAATAATTTATTAAGCTAAATATTTAAAGATAAGTTATAATATTTACTATTTATACGCATGAATAGTGTGCATGGGTATAATAATTCGAGCATTTAAATCAGATATTCAAGTTCATGAATATTTACCACTTAAGTTCATTTTATTCACATTAATTTAGTGCATGAGTATAAAGATCATTTACAATAAAAGTTCATGTACAAGATTCCCAAAAATAGTAAACCATCATGAATTAGATCCGGGCGTGAACCACGGAATCTTTATTAATTAAATGCAAATAGCCAAAATGCTATTATAAATATAAGGTGTGTAAGCGCTTTAAATTTTTTTTCACGTCATAAGCTCTGGGCGAGTACTGACTGCGGGTCTACTAAAGGGTTTAAAAATTGGAGTAATGTACTAGACCCGGGTCATGTATATGAACTTTTACGGTATTAATCTAAGTATTTAGGTTCATGAACATTTACTATGTCAGTAATAAAATAATGCATATTATAGTATATGCAATAACTCAAGAATTAATTTCTTATCATAGTCCTATTTAGACAGACAAACTTGATTCTGTGTTTTACTTTACCCTCACTCCCCTCCGAAAAAGGGGGATTTGTGGTTTACATAGTAAAATTTTACAAAAATTTTCTCTCAAAAAATTTCCGAATTGTTCTGTGATTATATAAAAATTTTCCGAAATAGCCCGTAGCCCTGTATATATTTATCTAAATTTTTTACTATGAGGGAGAGGGGGAGCGCTGGAGAATAATGTAAAACACTGAGTCAAGTTGGTCTCGCCTTACGGAATCTAGACTAAAAACATTGAACTTTTAATAGCCCTTGCCCCGTGCTCAACGGCACGGGTTCTCGCTAGTAATAATATAAGAAAAATTATATTCATAACACCCATGTTATATAACACAATATTATATGTTAATTATATAAATTAGGTTAGGGTAAATATGTAGTTTATAGTATAATTTAGGTGTTATATAAGATGGTGTTATGAATATAACTTTCCATATTATAATATATAGTTATTTACATTGGCATATATTTATTTAGAATTAAACATATACATATTTATTCAAGATCCATTAGAATAAAATCATACGTACTTAAATGTTTTTTTTTTGAGCATCACAAATTTAGGTATTGTTAGGTTGGGTGAGTCAGGTTCAGGCTGAGCAATAATTAACCAGAACCTGACCAAAAATTTCAAGTCAAATTTCTCTAACCCGAATCAGGCTCGACCAGGAAGTTCGGGTTGAATTTAAAGTTAGTCTGCCCCAATTCTTAGCATTACCTTCAAAATAAATATTATTATTAGAAATCATTTCATTTGCAGTTATTTGCCCATGTGACTGTTGATTAATATAACTAATGAATTTGCTAGTATGAATTGTACTATCTTCCACATTATTAAGGCCACTATTACTTTCGATCACCATTTCTTTGTCTGATTTTAAAAATTCAGATAAAAATTCAGTACTATTCTTCCAATTTAAAATAGTTTCATAAATTTCTATTGCCGATGGCCGTTTTTCTGGATCTTTATCCCAACATTTCTTCAAAAGTTCTGCAAAACATGTTGCTGTACCTTTTAGAATATTTGGCCTTAACCCGTTAAAACAAATTTATATAGTCAAATTTAAATTATTATCTTTATAGTCTGAAAACACAACTTTTCCTGAAGAAATTTCCCACATAATCATTCCAAAAGAATAAACATCTGATGCTTTAGTGAAAGGCTTTCCTTGCAAAATTTCTGGTGCTATATATGGTAAAGCTCCATAAATCCCTCCAGATTCTTTATCTAATGTTTTATTAGTCGATATTGCAATTCCTAAATCACCAATATAAGCATTATATAAATCCTTTTGAAATCTGCTGAGGGTGGCAATTCTTATGGACAACTTAATCTTGGATTCTGCTATGAAAGAGGCATAGGCATAGCTAAGGATGAAAAAAAAGCATTTGAATGGTATTTAAAATCTGCTGAAGATGATGATTCAGTTGGACAATATAATCTTGGATTGTGCTATCAATATGGCAGGGGCACTATAGAGGATGAAAAAAAGGCGT